ACTCTCCCGCACATGGCTCCGCCTGATTGCCTGGAGTCCACGTTGCAGCATTTGGCAACGGCGCCGTCGATGAATTTTGAATTCAGTGATCAGTACAAGAAGCATTTCAAGGGCCGTTTGGAGCAAGCGAAGCAGGCTGTTGCATCAGCAGGCCAGGTCCGTCTTTGCGCGTGCTGTGTGCGTGTGTGTGTGTGCTGCAGCGTTTGCAGGCCCTTGTGCTGGTTCGGATCCGGAGGCTTGATTTGGAAGTAGTCCGGGTTCCCCAGCAAAGAAGGTGTGCATGACCATTCCACTTGTAAACCTTTGCCCATGCAATGGAGTGCAGGCCGCTCAGAGCAAGCAGATCAAACCCGACGCTTTGGAGCGCAAGGCCGGGCGTGCCATGTTTACCGTCATATGATATATCCTACAGAACATTCACATACACACGTATATACATCTATGTTATTGTGCGTGGGCCAAACGCAGGTCGCAAGGCTTGCACTTGAGGCTGATCGCATGCACCAGCTCCTCTGCAGAGAACACCCGGCTCGTGGCCAGTGACCTCACAGCAGGGCCGGGTCACTTAAAAGGACACAAGCACCTCTATAATCGCCAAATCACCCAATCAGGATTTGTGTGTTTTCCTGCAATGTCTTCTGTGGTGCATGGAGCCAACTTGCATGCGCTCAAACATGACTGGGCAATCCAAGCATAAGGAGGCCCGCCCGGGCTTCATCATGTTTGAATTGCCAGTCATGTTTGCAGGCTGCTGCCTGCTCATTGCCTGGATGCTCTTTACGATGTGTTGCTACTGCAAAGCAGTTGGGTCAGAGGAAGTGCACCCCACTCTTTGAAAAAATGCATTTCCTCATGGGTAGGGTCCATGCTGGCTACAGAAACACACGCTCACTGTGACCAAGACTCATCCATGTGCCAACACTGTGACTTGTGTGTGCACGTGCACTCTGAGGTTTGGTCAGCTTGCCATAGTCCACGTGGAGGCCTGGGCCGGGGGAAGGGAGGCACTACTACCAATGGGCAGCCAACACTGGCCCAACAAGGACTCGAGTAGAAGGATGCTCCATAATTGTTGAAGATGGTTCACTTGACCCCATGTATACATATATATGTATTGCCACTCATGTGATTTCAGCCCGGTGCAAAGTGCCCTTTTTTATCATCCTGGATCCACTTGATCTCTTGTCCTGGATCCACTTCCACTTGACAGGATCAGCAATCATGTGTAAAATGGAAAATGTAGCCAACGATCATCGTAAAGGTGATGCCTCCACCCAGGAAAGCCCACACAAGGAGCAGGGGCAAAGGAACTCGGGGATCAGGAGCTTCAAGCTGAGTAAGATCGGGCCTGAGACTGGCAACTTCCTCACGGAGGGAGCCTATGGCGTCCAACACCTCGCGGAGCTCATGTGCACTGTCGGATGATGCTGGGGCCGATGATGGCATCTCCATGGCTCCTGAAGTGGCACTGGATCCACTTGATGCACTGGATCCACTTGACGGCCACTGGGCACACATCATGCTCCCACATGCAAACCCAAGTGTCTGAAGCACTACTTAGGGTCGGGCCCTTAGAAGTTGGTCTGAAAGGTGTCCAGCAACCATCAGCACTCACTGGCCCACTCAACATGGGACCAGCGGACAGTCTTGCCACATTTAAGCAGGGGTCACCAGAGAGGTTGAAACTGCTGTGCAACTGCAGGGCAAGAATGAAATATTATGGTTTTTTTTTGCTGGGTGACCTTGAGAACTCAGGGAGGCTTTGCACTGGGGCCAGCACCCTGCAGAGCCGCTGGGACCAGGGTCTTCTTAACCTCAGGTGGACAATTTCATCTTCTTGATGTGAGAGCTCCAACTGTGCGGCATGATGGTGGTCCAGCAATCCATGTAACAATTTCATTGTTTTTGGTGGCTGTACTTGCCATTAAGGGCTGTGATGGGACGGTTCCAACTGTCGCAAGGTGGCCCAGTGTTCCAGTGGTCAAGTGTTCCAGTGGTTTACTGGACCAATAGGTCAACAGGCAAAACTCCCAGTTGTATGTGAGGTGGCCTGGCAGTGCAACCCATGATGTTCTTTCTGAGTTCAGTGCTGTGCAGGCAGTAGCTCTGCCTTGCCTGGCGTGGGCTTTCAACACCATGCCTTTCCATGCGGTCCTGCCCCTCCTTCTCAAAGCTTAATTGATAGCAAAACAGTGGCTTTGCTTAGCACATGTGGCTTGGAGTTCCTGAGTGATTGGAGGTGTCTAGTTAAGAAACCATGCGCTCTGAAACATGTAGCTGTACTTGCAAATGCGCCAGGCAGACCTCCTCATGCTGCAGGGCAAGCCGCTGCAGCTGCTGCTTGCGCCAGGGCATGTTCCATGTTGGCATGTAACATGTGCTTTGGACATGCAACTCCTGTGCTCAGCTCTTCAGCACAGGAGTTTCATGTCAGAAGCACATGTCAATCTTCTCAGTAATATGAACATGCACACACAGAAGAAGCACACATGTAACCAATGAGGGCAAACAATGCACCACATGCGTGTCGCAACCATAGTGCCTACCCACCCAATGCTCACTGTATTGTAACCATATCAAGCACTTAATCAACGCACATGTGTGGAAGCTATGCAGGCAACTTACCAACCCTCATGTGTGTAGCAATGATACTGGATGTGCATGAGTCTGCGGATAATGGCTCTGTGCTCCTCACATGCTTCTCATGTGTTTGCTAGAAACACATGTGAAGCATCTGAGAAACACTGGGCACTGAAATGCGCATGGTTTTATGGCCAATTCTTGGCTTATGGTAAACACGTACATGGCATGATTATGCCGAATTGTTGTGCCAAAATGGTCTGATTTTCCCCCATAATGTGCGCATATGCTGTATACCAGTTACCTTTTGCTAGTATACCACTTCCATGGGTCAGAGTTTCCAACGAACTGTGTATGTTGCGATGCTCTTAGAGGGCTTATATAGAGTGCTGGAATCTAATTACATCTGATAGTGCTCCGTACTGATCAACGCTGCTTAGTTTAGATTTCCATTGATGGTTCCTCGAACTGTTGCTCCTAATGCTGGTTTGAGCAGTTTGGTCAAGTAGCCGGCAGTCTTGGTGCCGACTGGTAGGCTGAACCTATCGATTTGCTGTGTAGCTGTCCTGTAGAAGAACCACTGTGGCTGCGGAAATTACCTCACATGCTGATGAGGTCTTTTCCCATGACTGAGTTTCTAGAGCTGTGCCCGTTAGCGTTGTTTGCTGGGCTTCTGACTGTACGGCTACTGAGGATGTCGGAGTCCTCGGGCCAGTTAACCACAGTTAACCACCATGCGTAGTGGCAGTGATCTCCTGAAAAGTGTAGTGGATGAACAGTTTGTACCTGTTTAGCCTTTGCACGTTGTCCCAGGGTGCCTTTCATGTGTGTAGCGCCTATTGTTTGTCGTGCTTTGGGTGATGCAAATATTCCTGATCCCGCTGATGCCAATGGTTGATCCGACGTCATGTAGTAGTTTGGCATGCGGGCATCACATGTTGCTATACTGCTCCAGAATATCCTCTCGGCTAGCACGTGAAGTTTGAGGTGCTTTAATACTTGCCGAATGCAATGTTGTGCTCTCACAGCATACCTTAATGCTTGATGAACATAGCTCCGTAACACTTGCTTTTGAGGCTTACGACCCTGTGTATAATACGACGCATACATGCAGGGTGCATGTTCTTGCAAGCACATGTTCACAAGCGAGAGAGAGAGAGAGAGAGACAGCTGCAGTAAGGATGTGTTCACATTTGCTTACTCATAAACTTGAACTCTTCTCCCCATACTCTAGGAAAGAGTCACCCTTCTTGGAAACAATTTGGGGGAGTTTGTCTGAATTCGCATCATCCACAGTCGATTGGGCGCGGAGAGCAAACAAATGTCTGGGCACCTTGCATTGAGATGTCGTGTGTTGCGTGTTGTCACGTTTCCTGCTTGCATGGTTGCCGTTGTTATCGTTGCTGTTTGCTGTTGTCTTTGCGTTCTGGCTAGCTACAGGACGAGCAAAGCATTTGTTTCATAACTACAGACTTCACTTTGCTTTGGCGACGCACAACATGTCAGCACAAGCTACTCGACTGCGCTGCAGACCTAGTTGTTCACCAAGCGGCACTGTCCTGATGAGTTCTGGTGTTCACGGTGTGGTGCGTCTCCGCATTGAGACTTTCGTGTTCGAATTGTCGGCATCGATGAGCAAGCCGCGACTGTTTGCCAACTAGTCTCAAGTTGTGCGGCAAGATAGTTTGCGCAGACATGCGCAAGTGGCAACATGATTGGAGAGGGAAATCAGGCCCGCTGCAATTCCCCACAAACATGCACCTCATGTGCAGAAACTCCTCTTATTGGGGAACACTGACAATTGTCAGTGGTAATATTGCTCGTCAGTTCGCAGGGCTTTGCTTTACCTGTTGCAGTAGTTTGTGAGGACGCTGACATTTTGACATTTTGGAAGGGACATGATCGGGTGCCCTAGAATATGCATGTTTAGAATGTCTTAGAATAAGCAGCAACACCACACCACTCATTCGCATGCATGGAGCATGGCAAGACTTGCCAAAAGCTTAGCGCTTGTTGCAAGTTCAACATCAAGTTCGCCGCTGACAGCAAGTGTTCAATATTAGATCTAAGAGCCTGCGAGAGCTACAGCCTCAAATGCGATATGTTTGAGTTGTTGTTTCGCTCGACATATTGTGCAGTGCATGTGTATTGTATCGTTACATATTTGCTGAAGTCTTGGGCCAACGCTGTTGCTCAGCCGTTTGTTTGCCTATGTGCGGATTGCTGTTTGTTTCCCTTCCTATGCCACAATGCGCATAACAATTTGTGCGAGGCAAAGGGCGAGAAGCAAGTGTTATGTTTCACAGATGCACGATGGCGTACATCTTTCTTGAGGCAGCTCAGGATTTGTTTTCTTCCTATAGCTTCAGATCAGTTCAGGTAGCTAATAGGTAGCACGAAGGGACAACACTTCCGCCAAGGAATGCCTTCAACCACGCTGTCACCATGACCGGCGAGCTGCTTGACCGTATCCAAACCAGGATCAGGTGTCTTGGACATCGTTTCAGTCATGGTGAGAACTTGTCACGCGCGGCAGTTAACAAGTAGCTCCAACCGCTCGATCTTTAACAAGCAATCTGCTTTGAAAGGCAAGATAGAATTGGTTGCAAGCGATATGTAGGAAGCACCTTTCAAAACGTTCTGGTGTCCGAGTCAACGAGCATCAGAAGCGCTCACCATCCACGTGTCATGAGGTGAAAGCGCGGCTTGTTCTAGATTGTGAGGGCAATCGATGCCCATTCCAACTCACAGCCAGATGTCCGACTTGGATGTGTGTCTTGTTGGACTTGTTCCAGAGACCTTGCTGGTAAGTGTTGGGTGTTTTCTCCTGGGACCCTGCCCAGGCAGCTGAACGAAGCACGGGAGCGGCAGGGAGGGGTAGGGTCAGGGCTCCACAGGTCGGGAGGATCCTGGATGGGTTTTTGAGCTCAAAAAGGTGCAAAAAGGCCCAATCCGTGTTTTCAGGAAGAAGCACACCTATACTGGCACTAAATCTGTTCATTGGACACTATCCTGGTCTCTAGCCGACTGTTGCGGCGCTCTGAACGCATGGAATACCTGGCAGCCAAGCCGGAAATCACTTGCTCCACTGGCCCTGGCTCGCCACATGACAAGCTGAGCGTTCCTTGCAGCCCTAGCTCTAACGGGCCAACCTGTTTCTGTTGGTTGGACTTCACGACCACGGCTGACCGCAGCAGAAAGTAGACACAGGCTATGAATAAGAAGGTTCCGCCTAAGCGGAACGCTGGTCAGAATGGTTTGCGGTAGGATTCAGAATGGCTTGGAGGGTCTAGAGTGCTGTGGAGGCACATTCTGTTTCCTGTACCTATAGCTCATCATGTTTCCTGGACATCGTACATATATTTGGCATACAATTAACCTGGCCTTGCCAGTTCCTGGGTAAGAGTATAGGCCGCTGCTCTTCATTGTTTCACTGAATCAGCACACGCATAGTGTTGCTTTGACAGCTTATCTTGGTCATGTTTGAATGTCGTGCATGATGAATCGAGAGGTAGCGCCGAACAATCTTTGCCCAGTGAGCTCTGCGACATGTCACAGCATGACATGACCAGACAGAATTGAACAAATGGCAAAACAACATTATAGAAAGTGCAAACCTCAAATTTTGATGAGTTTAGAGCAAGCTAGAGCAGTTTGGAATAGTTCAGGCGTGTTTAGAGCCATTCTGAAGCTGTTTGGAGCTGGTAGGGCCACCCGGGCTCACGTAGGGGTGGCTCTCAATTGCTTTCTGATGTTTGAGGGTATGCACGTCCCTGCATGTTTCTTGCATTCTGCACAGCCTTTTCCAGAACGGACACCCCGCCATTTGGATAGGGCACGTGGGACGACCAGAAGTTTCAAGGTCTTTACCACAACATTCGAAGATTTGACTGGCCATGATGTGGATGTTGGCAGTGCATGTGCCGTTCCTTGCTGAAATGAATCCAAGTGAGTGCTCGGAGCCGACCGGACGCTGCCTCGGAGGACCTCGGAGAACTTTGCTGGCATGTGAACACGCACACCGGTCAGAGCTTCCGCCAGGGCCCTGGTGCTTGAGTGCAGCTGTGATTTAAATTCAAGACGTGAAAGTGGCTTTCCCTTTGAGTCTCCAACTTGCAAGCAGCTCAGCCGTTACGACTGGTACTGTATGTGGTTGTGGGTGTATGTGTTTATTTCTTGTTGTTGTGTTGCGGTTGTTTTGTTGCAATTGTGTTGTTTACTTAGTTTAATTATTTATGTATTTTATTTTTTTTATTATGCCTTTCTTTAGTTCTTTCTTCCTTTCTTTCGCTTTGTTTCATTCTTGCATGATTTTGTTCCTTCTTTATTTCTTTATTTCTTTCTTTATTTACTTCTTTCATTTTGTTCTTTGTTATTTGCTTGTTTGTTTGTTTTGTTAGCTTCTGACCCTGCCAATCGATTGGTTGGTTGTTTGCTTGTCTGTCTGATTGCTTGGTTTCGTGCGTTTGATTGGCTGGTTGTTGGATTTGCTTGCCGTGTTTTGCTTGCCTGTTGTGTTTGGTTTGTTTGTGTATGTGGTTGTTTGTTTGATTTGTGTGTGTGTGTGTGCTCATGCGTTTGTATGTGTGTGCTCGTGTTTCCGTGGGTTCTTTGCGTTTCTGTGTGTGTGTGTATGTGTGTGTGTGTGTTCATGTCTTTCCGCGTGGTCTCTTGATTGTGTGCATGTGTGTTTTGGTGCCCTGTGTCTTGGTGCCGTTGCCCTGTGTTCTCTTTTTTGTGTGTCTATTTGTTAATGTGTGTATCGTATGAATTGCCGTGTCTTTGTTGTGCGTGTGTTTGCATGTCTTTGTGTGTGTGTGTGTTTGCATGTCTTTGTGTGTGTGTGTCACATGTCCATCCGTGCATGTGCGTGTGTGTGGGTGTGCGTATGCACGTGTGTGAGTGTGTGTTATCCTGCGTGCTTTGTGAGTGTTTCTGTTTGTTTGCGTGTGTTTGTGAGTGTGCTTGCCCGCATTTTTTTTGTTTTGCATGTGTGCGTGTGTGCACGCAAGTGTGTGTGTGTAGATGTTCACGTATATCTATATATATGTATATATATATATATATATACACGCTTATGTTCATAAGCATGTGTGTGTGTGTGAGTAGGTGTGTGCTAGGGTATTTGTGTGTGTGTGTGTGTTCAACTATTTGCAAGTGTGGGTGGGTGTGCATTGTAAGTGTGTGAATTGTAAGAGTATGTGTGTGTATGTGTGTGTTTATGTGTTTGCATGTGAGGTGTTTGCGTGAAAGTGTGTCACTCTGTCACTGCTGGCTGGCTGGCTGGCTGGCTGGCTGGCTGGCTGGCTGGCTGGCTGGCTGGCTGGCTGGCTGGCTGGCTGGCTGGCTGGCTGGCTGGCTGGCTGGCTGGCTGGCTGGCTGGCTGGCTGGCTGGCTGGCTGGCTGGCTGGCTGGCTGGCTGGCTGGCTGGCTGGCTGGCTGGCTGGCTGGCTGGCTGGCTGGCTGGCTGGCTGGCTGGATGGTTGGTTGGTCAGTTGGTCGGCTGGTTGGTGGCTTTCCTGGCTCGCTTGCTCGCTTGCTGGCTTGCTTGCTTTGTATTGCCTGTTTGGTGTGTTTGGTTGCTTGCTTATGTGTGCCTCTGTGTTTGTGTGTGTGTGTGTGTGCCTGTGTGTTTGTGTGGGTGGATGTGCGTGGGTGTGTCTATTTGTGTGTGTGTGTGCTTTTTGTTGGTGTTGGTGTTGGTGTTTGTTTGTGTGTGTCATGATGCGTCCGCCCGCCCAGGTGAGCTTCGACTTCATCGACTTCAGCGAGCGCTGCTTCACTGTTTTTTTTGCATATTTGTATTTGTGGCTTAGGCTACGCGGCTACGCGTGAGCAGCTGGCAGTCCGAGCAGCCGAGCAGCCGAGCAGCCGAGGACAAGTGCAATGAGGCAGGACAGAGCGCGAGGGGGGGGTGAGAAGTGTCGTCAACACGCGCCTTCAGAATCGATACTTTTTGCCTTGAGTTGTTGCTCCAAATGCTGACGTAGACAAGTGTAGGGGAGGGGGGGGGAACCATCTCCTTCTTCTCTCCTCCTCTCCTTCTTCCTCCCCGTCTCTCCAGCTCACCTTCTCCCCTTGTCTCGTTCTATCCGTTTCTCCTTCTTCTCTCCTTCATCTCCTTCTCTCCTCCTCTCGCTCTGTCCGTCTCTCCTGCTCCCCTTCTTCTTCTTGATCTCCTTCCTCCTTCTCTCCTCCTTCTTCTCTTTCTTCTCCTTCTTCTCTTTTTTCTTTCTCCTTCTTCTCCTTCTTCTCCTTCTTCTCCTTCTTCTCCTTCTCTCTCTTCGCTCTCCTTCTCTTCTTCTGTCCTTCTCTCCTTCTTCTCCTTCTCTCCCCTCCCTTTGCTTTGCTTCTCTCCCTCTTCTGTCCTCGTTCCATCCTTCTCTCCGTCTCTTCTTCTCTCCTTCTCTCTCCTCCTTCCTCCTTCTCTCCTTCTCTCCTTCTCTCCTTCTCTCCTTCTCTCCTTCTCTCCTTCTCTCCTTCTCTCTGTCTTCTCTCCTTCTCCTGCTCTCCCTTGCCTCTGTTTTTCTCCTTCTTCTTCCTTCTCTTCTTCGCTCCTTCTTCTTCTTCTGCTTCCTCCTTCTCTCCTTCTCTCCCTTCGCTCTGCGTCTCTCCTTCTTCTGTCCTCGTTTTTTCCTTTTCTCCTTAATTCCTCTTCTCCTTCTTCTTCTTCTCTCCTTCTCTCCTTGCGTCCTTCTCTGAAGCTGGATTTCGTGGCAGGCGCGGTGGAGGAGCGCAACGTTGGCAGTGCTGCAGCTCTCTTCTTTCCTGCTCTGCTAGAAAAGTTGCTGTTTTCGAGACTCTTGTCTTCCTTCCTTTCTTTGTTTCTTTTCTCTTCCTTTCCTTTTGTGGTTGATTTCTTTCTTCCCTGCTTCTTTCTTTCTTCCTGTCTCTGTCTTTCTTGCTTCTTTGCTGTATTCCCTTCTTTCTTCATGCCGCCTTGCGAAAGTGCTGCGCCTGTCACGAAGTCTGTGCTTGACCTTGAGAAAGCGCACTCGACCTTGCGGAAGCGCTGCGCCTGCGAGGATATGTACGCTTGAACTTGTGAAAGTGTTGCGCCTACCACGAATCTGTACTTGACCTTGTGAAAGCGTCTCGCCTGTTATTCTGTATATCTCTTTTGTTGCTGCGCCTGCCTTGACCTTGAGAAAGCGCACTTGGCTTGCAAAAGTGCTGCGCCTGCCACGAAATCTGTGCTTCTTGATCTTGCGAAAGTGCTCGAAGTCTGCGCCTCAGGGTGCGAAAATCACGCGCCTGCCACGGATTCGGCAAGCAGCAGTTCGCGTGTCGACTCCAGTGCAATTTGCGAACCGCGCGACTCAGCTGCACCTGCGTGTGATGAGTTCTCAGGTGCGCCTGCCCGCATGCACGCGCAGGCCAGTGGGATTCTTTCCTCCCCTATCTGATTCTTTGCATTTCTTCTTCTTGCTTGCCTTCTCTCTTTCTTTCTTTCTCTTCATTTCTTTCTTTCTTTCTTGCTTTCTTTCTTTCTTTCTTTCTTCTTTCTTTCTTTCTTTCTTTCTTTGTTTCTTTCCTTTCCTTTCCAATCTTTTCTTTTCTTTTCTTTTCTTTTCTTTTCCTTCTTTCTTTCTTTCTGTCTTTCTTTCTTTCTTTCTTTCTCCGTCTTTCTTTCTCCGTCTTTCTTTCTCTCTCTTTTTCCTTCTCCTTTTTTCTCTCTCTTTTTTTCTCTTTTTTTTTTCTCTTTGTTTGTCTTTCTTTGTCTTTCTTTCTTTCTTTCTTTCTTTCTTTCTTTCTTTCTTTCTTTTCTTTCCTTCTGTTTTTCTTTCTGTTGTATCTACGCATCGATTTCTCTCTCTCTCTCTCTCTCTTTCTGTCTGTCCGTCCGTCTGTCCATCTATCTATCTATCTGTCTGTCTGTCTGTCTGTCTGTCTATCTGTTTATCGCGCCTGCCACGAATTCTGCACGTAGTTCTGCGCTCGCCGCGAAAGCTGTACCAGACCTTGCGAAAGCGCTTTCTTGTCACGAATGCGCGCGCGCCAGTAGAATTTGCAGCGCTCGCCACGCAATCTGCACTTCAGCTCGCCAAGGGGCGGCGCCTGTCACGCAGAGCTGACGTCGCGAGAACTGGGCGTGTCCGTGCCAACGGGCCCGGGTCCCGTCATGCGTTGTAACCGAGGTGGCTGTCGGCCCGTCGTCTGCTCACGATCTTCCTTTGACAACAACAACAACAAGTGCTGCTACTACTACTACTACTACTTCTACTGCTTCTACTGCTTCTACTGCGACTTCTACTGCTACTGCTACTGCTACTGCTACTGCTACTGCTACTGCTACTGCTACCCTACTACCACAACTGCCACAACTACTACAACTACTAGCGCCGCTACTACTACCTCTGCTAGTGCTACTACCACTCCCATTACGACTGCTGCCGCTGCTCCTGCTCTTGCCCCTGCTCCTGCTGTTGCTACTACTTCTTCTGCTACTGCTACTACTCCTAAGACATTCTATCATTGTTTTTAATCATGCTATCATTGCTGCTCCTACTGCTGTCGGTTCTGCTGCTAGCGAACCCCAACTCCAACTTCTACTGCTACTTCTACTACTGCAACTGCTACTACTGCTACTGCTACTACAACTGTGGCTGGCAGTTTTACTGCTCCTATCACTGCTACTGCTAACACAACTACAATCACAATTACTACTACTATTGCTACTACTACTACTGCTGCTACTACTACTGCTGTTGTTACGACTACTACTACTACTGCTACTGGTACTACTCTCAGTTGTTTTGAAAAACGCACCTTTAGACAAGACCGGGAGGCCCAAGCCCAGGGGACGCGTCTGGGCCAGCGCCCTTGCGCGCGGCGACTGGGGTTGCAGCGCGGGGTTTGTTTTTTACTTCTTTTGCCATTACAGGAGCTATTTGGTCTGGCGCTTTTCTTTGCGACGCGGGCGCGTTGGGCCTCGGTCGTGTGTTATGGGCAAGTTCTGATGGCCTTTTCGCTTGTTATGTTTACCCAAAATTGTTGAGGTTCCTTACTTGGGAGCTCTGACATGGCCACACAAGA